CACAAAACAAAATGCGGCACTCTGTCCATTGGAAAACAAAGAAAGACGAAATGCACCCTAGGCCTCTGGGTTGGCCGCAAAGAAGGGAGAAAGGAAGGAGAGAGGGCGGGAGCTACAAGGCGAAAGAGGGAGGGAGGGCCGAGGGAGGATGAAGGTCCATGGGAGGAGGGAGGGAGGGTCAAGGGGGACGGGTAAAAAGAGGAAGGAGGCAAGGAGAAGTGAGGGCCGAGGGAAGGAAGGAGGGAGGTAGAAATGAGAGCCAAGGAAGGAGGCAGATAGAAGCGAGGGTCAACGGAACCAAGGAGAGGGGAGGAGTGAGGGGCGAGGGAAGGAAGCACGGAGGGAGAAGTGAGGGCTGAAGGAAGGAGGGAGGGAGAAGCGAAGGAAGGAAAGAGAAGAGGGGGCCTAGGGAAGGGATGAAGGAGGGAGACGTCAAGGCCCACGAAGGAGGAATGTCTGAGAAAGGAGCCCGAGGGGAGAGAGGGCCGAGGGCCGAGGGAGATAGGGAGGAGGTCAGTCGGAGGTCGAGAGTAGAAAGGAAGTGGAGGAAAGAGGACAGCGGACTGAGGGCGGATAGAAGATGGAGATGAGGTGGAGATCAAGTGCAGGTCAAGCGAACGGAAGAAGGAGAGATGTCAAAGGAGGGAGGTAAGAGAAATGGAGACTCGCTTAAGTCCGCCTTGCCGACTAAACCTCCAGCCGACAACGATTAACCAACAACGATTAACCAACAACGATTAACCAACAACGTGCAAGCCTTCGGTCACGATGTAGCCTAGTCGTCCAAGGTCCACAAAAGTGGACAATGTCTCAAGCACACATTGCAACACGCCACTCGAAGTTCGCGTAGCACCAAGCTCATGCAGCACGTAGCGCCAAGCTCACGAAGCACGTAGCACTAAGCTCACGAACCACGTAGCACGGAGCTCATGAACCACGTATCACTGAGCTCACGAAGCACGTAGCACCAAGCTCCCGTAGCACCAAGGCCCGAAGCACCTAGCACCG